CATGAGAGAGGGGAGGGTCAGAGGGAGAAGCAGGCTCCTCGCTGAGCAGGGAGCCCGATGCGGGACTCGATCCCAGGACTCCAGGATCATGACCTGAGCCGAAGGCAGTTGCTTAACCAACTGAGCCACCCAGGCGCCCCCTGTGAACATTTGTTTTTATTATTCTTTAAGATACTAAGAAAATTAAGGTTTACCTATATTTAAAAATCAGTACAGTAGAGCTTATATAATTTATAATAAATGTGCGGTTGTGGGGAATGTGTGTTTGATTTTTTTTTTTTTTGATTGAGTGGCATGATGAAAAGGGTTTAGAGCAACTGTTCTAGAAAGTAAGCTTCTAGAGGGCAAGAAATATACCTAGTTCTGATCTGATTTGTATCTCGCCCTCATCCTCATTATTTAGCATTGAATGACCATTCCCCAAATAAATGAATTTGGCATCTATATGAACTTGTCTTTGTTTCTTCTGCTCCTTTTGTCATCCATCTAATACTATGTCTTGTTTGATACTTTGCCAAGACATGAGCAAGTAATAAAGCCATGTTTGAGAAGTAAAGAGTACAAATTGCCATGAGAAGATTGGGAAGTGCAAGACTGATAGTCCCCAAAAAGAGTTAATGGAATATTACTGAGCCATAAAAAGAATGCAATCTTGCCATTTGCAACAACATGGATGAAGCTAGAGAGTATAATGCTAAGTGAAATAAGTCAGTCAGAGAAAGACAAATACCATATGATTTCACTCATATGAGGAATTTAAGAAACAAAACAAATGAACAAAGGAAAAAAAAAAAGAGAGCAACCATAAAACAGTCTCTTGGGGGACTGGGTGGCTCAGTTGGTTATGTCTCTGACTCTTTTCAGCTCAGGTCATGATTTCAGGGTTGTGAGATCCAGCTCCGCGTTGGGCTCTGTGCTGGGCATGGAGCCTGCTTTGATTGTCTCTCTCTCCATCTCCCTCTGCCCCTCCCCACTCTCTCTAAAACAAAACAAAACAAAACAAAAACAGACTCTTAACTATAGAGAATAATCAGATAGTTACCAGAGGGGAGGTGGGTGGGATGGGTGAAATAGGTGAAGGGGATTAAGAGCACACTTAGCATGGTGAGCACTAATATATTGAACTGTTGAATCACTATATTGTACGCCTAAAACTAGTATAACACCGTTAACTACACTGGAATTAAAATTTAAAAAAAATGTTGGGCGCCTGGGTGGCTCAGTTGGTTAAGCGACTGCCTTCGGCTCAGGTCATGGTCCTGGAGTCCCAGGATCGAGTCCCGCATCGGGCTCCCTGCTCAGCGGGGAGTCTGCTTCTCCCTCTGACCCTCCTCCCTCTCATGTTCTCTGTCTCTCATTCTCTCTCTCTCAAATAAATAAATAAAATCTTTAAAAAAAAATTAAAAAAAATGTTAAAGGAGGATAGAAAGGCATGCAGCAGGCAAGAGTAAAACCTCACGGCAGAACTCACGCAGCAAGTCCAGCATGGAGCATCAGCACTTCTGGCTGAGAAATCAAGTATGATCTGAACATCTGAGTGTTTACAAAATGAGCACTGTCCTCCCTCTTCCTCTTAAAGTTGCAGAAAGCAACACGATGCAATGAGAGAGAAGTACCAGCTCTATTACTCTCCTGGCTTGGTGATCTTGGGTGAAGCCTCTAACCACCTGCTTCCCCGCCGCCACCCCCCCCCCTGCCCCAGGGAAATCATTCTTGACTTACAAATGAGGTTGGACTAGATGATTTTGGAGGTCTCTTCATGCTTTGAAGCGGCCCTGAATATAGATGAAGTTGGTAGTTTTCAGTGCTGGAGGTTCTAGCAGCAGGGATGGGCATCCGGACTCGGGGTGTCCCCTGTCCCAGCAGCATCACCCATGCAGTGTCTTCATGCCATTGTTCTGCAGCATTAACTCCAGAAGTCGTTTCTGGCTCGCCTCTGCACCTGGGTCTCCAGCCCTCCTGCAGCGCCTGTGAACCACCCAATATCCCTTCATAAATTCATCTTCTGCTTAAATTAATCAGAGTTTGTTTCTGTTGCTTGCAACCCAAACCCCTGACCAATGCATCCATTATCTTTCTAAAACATGCACTTGGTTGAAAAAGTTTGAAAGTTGAAAACATTTAAGACAGAAACAACATCTCCTTCCCTTTCTCAGCCTCTTACTGTACCACTTTCCTTCTCGAGAGGTAGCCACAGTTGCTAGTTTCTTACATATTCCTCCAGATAATATTCCCTGTGTATGTAAACCTATCCATGTCTCTAAGAAAAAATACTTTATGGGGCGCCTGGGTGGCTCAGTCAGTTAAGCATCTGCCTTCAGCTCAGGTCATGATCCCAGGGTCCTGGGATTGAGTCCTGTGACGGGCTCCCTGCTCGTCAGGGAGCCTGCTTCTCCCTCTCCTCCCTGCTCATGCTGTCTCTCTCTCTCTCTCAAATAAATAAATAAAATCTTAAAAAAAATACTTTCTAAAAACCATCACGCAGACCAGTGGGGTCATTCTATGCACATAGTTCCTTATTCTGCTTTTAAACTCAATGTATGTTGGAGACGTTTCCATAAATATAAAGGTGCCTCATTCTTTTGAATGGCTGCTTAGTATTCCACTGAATGAAGATTCTATAATCTATGTAGCCAGTCTTCTATTGTGAACATTTGGATTGCTTATGGTTTTTACGACTACGAATAAGACTGTAATGAATATCCCTGTAAATATGCCTTCGATATGTCTTAATGACCAGTGCAAGCATATTCATAGGACAAATTTCTGGTAGTGAAGTTGCTGGCCCAGAGGGTATAACTTTTAAACTTTGGACATATTGTACCCAACTGTACTACGAAGAGGCTGCACCAACTTCTAATCCTACTAAAAATGTCTTAGTCTCCCTGTTTTCCATATCCTCACTTCATCAATGTGTATAATGAGATTTTTATAATGTTACCATTCTGGTAGGTGAAAAATGGTTTCTCGTTTTAAGATTTTATTTAACAGAGAGAACGTGAGAGAGCATAGCAGGGGGAGCAGCAGAGGGGGAGGGAGAAGCAGGATCTCTGCTGAGCAGGGAGCCCCATGTGGGACTGGATCCCAGGACCCTAGGATCATGACCTGAGTGGAAGGCAGATGCTTAACCGACTGAGCCACCCAGGCGCCCCCTGGTTTCTCGTTTTAATGTTAATTCATTAAACCATGAGTGGGGTGGAGCCTTTTTCATATACTTAAAAGCTATTTGTCAATACCTGTGTATTCTATATATTTACTTTGTCTATTGTTCTCAATTGGATTTTGATCTGTTTTTAATTCTTTTGTAAGAACTCCATATTTTAAGAAAACTGTACCTTTTTCATATTTGTTGAAAAGATTTTTTTCCTGATTTGTTTTTGGTCTTCTGACATTATTTCATTTGATTTTGTTTTGGGCCTTGCAGAAATCTTTAATTTTCACAGAGTCAAATTTGTCCATATTTTTGTGTATAGCTTCTGAATTTGCTTAGAATGGCCTTTGGTGGGAAGCTTTGCATGGTCTCAACCCTGAAGATGCTAATTTAGAAAAACAACATTTGAGACTTCTGGTTAAAGAGAACAGATTAGACACATACTGTGCTCCATTCCCTCCTAGAACTTAACCCAAAGTTAAGGTTTGATGAAGTAATATATTCACATGGTTCTAAAACCAAAAAAAGGGTAAAAAGGCACAGAGCAAAAAAGTTTCCCTCATCCATGTCTCCCATTGGCCTGGGTCCCACTGTCTTCCTGTCCATTGTAAGCTTAGTTACTAATTTGTTATGTGTGTGTCTCCAGAATTTCTTTTCAAAGATTTTATTTATGGGATGCCTGGGTGGCTTAGTCGTTAAGCGTCTGCCTTCGGCTCAGGTCATGATCTCGGGGTCCTGGGCTCAAGTCTCACATCAGGGTCCCTGCTCCTCGGGAAGCCTGCTTCTCCCTCTTCCACTCCTCCTGCTTGTGTTCTCTCTCTCGCTGTGTCTCTCTTGCTCTCTGTCAAATAAATAAATGAAATCTTAAAAAAAAATAAAGATTTTATTTATTTGACAGAGAACAAGAGAGAGAGCAAGAGAGAGCACAAGCAGGGGGAGTGGGAGAGGGAGAAGCAGGTTTTCCACTGCTGAGCAAGGAGCCCAACGCGGGGCTCGATGTTAACACCCAGGACTTGTCCTGTGACCCTGGGATCGTGAGCTGAGCTGAAGGCAGACGCTTAACCGACTGAGCCACCCAGGTGCCCCAGTCTCCAGAATTTCTTTTCTTTTCTTTTTTTTTTAGATTTTATTTACTTATTTGACAGAGACAACACAAGCAGGGGGAACGGCAGAGGGAGAAGGAGAAGCAGGCTTCCCATTGAGCAGGGAGCCCGATGTGGTGCTCGATCCCAGAACCTGGAATCATGACCTGAGCAGAAGGCAGACGCCTAACCAACTGAGCCACCCAGGCGCCCCTTTCCAGAATTTCTTTATGCATAAGTAAGCAAACAAGAATTTAAATAATTTTTTTTTTAAGTCTAAACCTACAAGGACAAAGAGAATATGAAAAGGATAGCAGCAGGCTAATTTTAAAAGATGGAATGTAGATGAATGTGTGGTAACTGAACCAAGAGACCCAAGTAAGGTGAATTCTAAGCCAGCGGATAAGAAAGCTAATGTCACTTGCTTTACACTTCAGAATCCTCCACGTGCTCAGCAGTTTGTGGCACCAGGTACTTTGATATTTTGTGAATAAAGCTGTGGCTAAGAGGAGTAAGATGAGTTGAAAGTCAATTCAAGAAGCAAAGAGGGGGGCGCCTGGGTGGCTCAGATGGTTAAGCATCTGCCTTCAGCTCAGGTCATGATCCCAGGGTCCTGGGATCGAGCCCCACATCGGGCTCCTGGCTCAGCGGGGAGCCTGCTTCTCCCTCTCCCTCTGCCTCTCCCCTGCTCATGCTCTCTCTCTGTATCTCTGTGTCTCAAATGAATAAATAAAATAAAATTAAAAAAAAAGCAAAGAGGTCCCCAGCCCCGCCCCCCCCTTTCCACTTGCATCTGTCAAGTGGACTGCCCCTTCCCCACAGTGGCCAAAAAATGGAGCTTTTTCCATTCTTTGGGACAGTAAGACAGAGCGAGGACCAGGCACAGTTGTGAGAAGGATAATATACTGAAGAAAAAAGGAAATTACTTACAGACCCCCTGCCTTCTTCCTTTACATAGATTGTAACCCTAACATCCAGCCTGGAGATTTTCTGAGAACACGACACCCTGGAGAGAAATTCCCTAAAGATCATTTGGAAGTGGCAGCATCTCTGACAGAAAAAGAAAGCAAAAAATTATCAATATCCTCAGAGAGATAAGACAGGATAGTCTATTTTTTAAATATTTTTTATATTTATATGTATTTTTATATGCCATTTTGAATTTAATTTTATTTGCTTAAATTTTATTTTTTTATTTTGAAAATTTTTTAATTTAAATTCAAGTTAGTTAACATATAGTATATTATTAGTTTCAGGGCTAGAACTTAGTGATTCATCAGTTGCATATAACACCCAGGGCTCATTCCATCAAGTGCCCTCCTTAATGTCCATCACCCGGTTACCACATCTCCCCACGCACCTCCCCTCCAGCAACCCTCAGTTTGTTTCCTAGAGTTAAGAGTTTCTTATGGTTTGGCCTGGGTGGCTCAGTTGGTTAAGTGACTGCCTTCGGCTCAGGTCATGATCCTGGAGTCCCGGGATCGAGTCCCGCATCGGACTCCCTGCTCGGCAGGGAGTCTGCTTCTCCCTCTGACCCTCCCCCCTCTCATGTGCTCTCTCTCTCTCTCATTCTCTCTCTGTCAAATAATAAATAAAATCTTAAAAAAAAAAGAGTTTCTTATGGTTTGTTTCCCTCTCTGTTTTTATCATTTTATTTTTCCTTCCCTTCCCTCTTTTCCTCTGTTTTGTTTCTTAAATACCACATATGAGTAAACATATGGTATTTGTCTTTCTCTGACTGACCTATTTCACTTAGCGTGATACCCTCTATTTCCATCTACGTCATTGGAAATGGCAAGATTTTCTTCTTTTTGATGGCTGAGTAATATTCCATCGTGTGTGTGTGTGTGTGTGTGTGTATCTCATATCTTATATATATCACATCTTCTTTATCCAAAGGATACAAGAATAGTGATTCGAAGGGGCACATGCACCCCAATGTTTATAGCAGCAACGTCCACAATAGCCAAAATATGGAAAGAGCCCAGATGTCCATTGACAGATGAATGGATTAAATGCTATTTTTAAAAAGGAACAGTTAGAGAACAAAAAAAGATCTCAGAAATTTAAATATGATCCCAGAAAAAAAAAAAAAAAACTCACCAGAAGAGGTGGAAACTAGAAAGTACAGCAAAAAATAAGACATGGAAAATAGAAGATATAAGGGCAAAAGCAGTTTATTTGGGAGATGATCCACCTATAGCGTGTGGGGAAGTGAAACCAGGAAGCTACTGTATCCAGCAAGATACTATGAATAACTGGAACTTGATTCCTTGGGGAGACTCTGCGAGACCAGTGTGGAAATCACGGCTCAAAGTTATCCCCACTCAGGGCTGAGCGAGCTGAGCTATTTATTCTGCTAACTCTCATTGCTCATTGGTTAAGAGCTGCTCCCTAGGAGGAGGGGGTTAATTACCCCCAACTCTTCATGAGCAAACCTTTGGTATCCAGAAGAAGCCCTCAGGCAAAGAGACATTTGTACTGGTAATTTTTAAAAAAGATTTTGTTTGTTTGTTTATTTATTTGACAGAGAGAGTACAAGTGGGGGAGCGGCAGGCAGAGGGAGAGGGAGAAGCAGGGTCCCTGCTGAGCAGAGAGCCCAGATGCAGGGCTCGATCCCAGGGCCCTGGGATCATGACCTGAGCCGAAGGAAGGTGCTCAATGGATTGAGCCACCCAGGCGTCCCTGTACTGGTAATTTAGACGGCGCGGATGGGGCAGGGGCCAGGAGAATATGGGTGGGACACTCATGGCGTGTTCTATCTTCCCTGCTTTCTTTCTTAGGAAACGACTGGAGGATGCACTCCACCAAAACAATGGAGTGAATCAAGAAAGAGGAAGAGACAGAATTTAGGAACCAGAATATTTGACATAAGAGATGAAGGGAATCCCCAGGATGTGGTGAAAGGGTGGAGTGGGGAACTGCCAGTTATTAATATGGAACTATTTGATTCTTTCAACTATGTGCATGTTTATTTTCGATATAAATTAAAATCAGTAATTTGTCTTTTTTCTTCTGCTGCCTGAGAAAGGGAGGAGGTGAGACAGAGAATGCGGATCCTTCCTAGCTGATAAGAACCTGGGAAGGTAAAGTGAAACTCTTTTGTTCCTTGGGTCCGTCAATCCAGCAGGGCCATTCTCTTTCCATCTCCCGTTTAGGCAGGAAGAGAAATTCTGAGCAACTGGGAAATTAAGACTTAAAATATTGAAAAGAGCTGTTGGTGCCAAACTGACCTAAAATCTGGGGCTGCCCTAGGAGGGTTCTGACCCAAGGAAGCGATCCAAGGTAAATGCAAAGAAAGGATTCTGTCAAATTAAAAACCAAAACCAGGATTACATTAAGGGGACCATGAATTGCACTAAAGTGTTATTGGAATAAATTCTTAATTGTGTCTGGATATGAATTTCTTGATATTTTACTTCAAATGCCTATTGCCTTAAAATCTAGATTTTAAAAATATGACTATTTTAATATATAATTTTAATTTAGAAAAAAAAACCATGGAAATGCTTTGTACAGAGTTTTTGGCTAATCCTATCTCTAATTGAAAATTGCACTGTTTTAGGTCTGTGGCCCTATCAAGACACCAGAGTCTACCACTTTCTGATCGCAGGCAAGACAGCCACGGGAATGAGGCCTCCTGAAAACTGACTTAGTCCTCCTTTCTCTTCCTATGTTGGAGGTCTGTCCACTGGATCCCTCTCCTAGGCCGAGAAAAATGCTCAAAAATGCCCCCATCTAAAAGAAAAATAAACAAAGCCATTCTCCTTTTAGCTATCACCCCCATTTTCTCTTCTCCTTCATCATAATGCTTCTGGAAAGAATACATGCTAACTTCCTCCTCTTCCTTTACTTCCTCCCCACACGCTGCTTCTTGACCCCGTGCGAGCTAGCTTTCCCTCTGACCGGCACAGAGGCCCCAGAGGACTTCTCGCTGTCAAATCCTTGGGTCCTGTTTAGACCTCATCCTTCTCTCTGAATTCCCCCTCCCCATCTTGGCCCTGTCACTCTTCTTTCCTGGTGCTTCTACCCCTCCTACCCCGGCCTCTCTCCTGGGACCCCCTCAGCAGGACAGGAATCCCCAGAGATCCCCTGACTCCCTATAAGCTCTGGCATCTGCCCAGGTCCCCAGCCTCACCTGTGGCCTGTCCGGCTTGCTCCCTCCACTCCCATGACACTCAGGATCCATTGGGTTCCTCTAAGGCACCCAGCTCTTGTGGCCTTCAGGCCTATCCCTCTACCTGGGGCCCTCTTCCCCGCCCCACACCCCTGCCCTCCATCCGGCTGTTTCCAACCTGACTTTCAGGTCTCAACCCACTGTCGTTTCCTCAGAATGCAGCGCCTCCCTTCCCATCCCCACCAAACTAAATCCATTTCCCCAGTCTTCTCTCTCAGAAATAATTTTTTTTCTTCTAAACTAAATCATTTATTTAGTTTCTAATGAGAGGCTTCAGGGGTGTGTTTCTTTCCTTAAATATCTACCTTTCAATCCAGGATGGAAGCCGCGTGAGGACGGGAGCCACGTCAGCTCTGTTTCCCACTGTGTCCTTAGTGTCAACGCAGCCCTGGGGACAGCAGATGGGGGGTGTCCGTGGCGAGCGGGAGTGAAGTGCTTTCGTCCTGCCCGCACCACAGCAAGCCCTTCCCACGTACCACCTCGCTTTTACTCTCACGGCAACCCTGTGAGTAGGTACTCTAACCGGGTCCATCTTGGGCCAAGGAAACTGCAACTTAGAGAGACCGAGTAATAATGCCCGAGATCTTACAGAAACAAGGGGAGTCAGAGCTGGAATTTGAAAATACATTTCTCTGAGTCTGTGTGGGACTTCCTGAGGACCATAGTGTAGTGCTTCCTAGCTGACAGATTGTCTACACTCACCTTCCCAGACTTCCCGCACACCCCTTCCCTCTTGTCTGCGTCTCTGCAGCTTTCCCAGGCAGGATGAGGGTACGGGCGGGGAGCTGGCCCTGGAGGGGCTGGGAGGTCCTTGGCCGTTCTCCTTTTCTAGCACCTGTTTCTGGGAAGTACTCAGAAAACCCGTGAGGTAGGCAAACCATGATGACAATCAATGCTCTCGTAACTCTCCTGCCCTTTCTTTTTTTTTTTTTTTTTATTTATTCATGAGAGACAGAGAGAGAGAGAGGCAGAGGGAGAAGCAGGCTCCCAAGGAGCAGGGAGCCCGATGCGGGACTCGATCCCAGGACCCTGAGATCATGACCTGAGCTGAAGGCAGACGCTTAACCATCTGAGCCACCCAGGCGCCCTCTCCTGCCCTTTCTATATGTTCTTTCCATTTCCTGCCTTCCCCGCCATGGCTTTGGGTTGCTCCCCAGGGTGATGCCCCACTCAGGCCTTCCACCCTGCCCACATATGCCCTGGGCAACTTTCAGTCCATTTCTCTGACAAAAATGTACCTGTCTCAGAAAATGATCACAGTAGAACAGTAAGTGGAAATAAATAGAGTTGAAATATTGTGTGAATAGTTGTTATGGGTTGAGCTGTGTTCAACCCACCTCAACTGATATGTTGGAGTCCTAACCCCCAGACCCCAGAATGCAACCTTATTTAGAAATCGGGTCACTGTAAATGTAATTATTCAAGTGAAGATGAGGTCATGGTGGAGTTGGGTGGGTCCCTAATCCAATGCAACTGTTATCCTTATAGAAATACTGTCATGTGGAGAGCCAGGCATGCGTGCAGACAGAAGAGCAGGTGGAGGTGAAGGCAGAGATGGCCCCGATGCCGCAGAAGCCAAGGAATAGCAAAGATGGCCAGAAAAACCACCCGAAGCTAGGGGAGGGGCCTGGAACACATTCTCCCTCACAGCCCTCGGGAGAACCAATCCAGCAGACACCTTGATCTCAGACTTCCAGCCGCCAGAACTGGAGAGAATCGATTTCTGTTGTTTAAGCCCTCAGTTTGTGGTACATTATTGTGTTGTGGCAGCCCTAGCAAACTAATAAAAGTAGTTTCACCCAATTTTGTAAAACAAAACAAACCCTATATATGTCATGGATTATTCTCTCTCTCTCTCACGTGCATGCACACACACACACACACACAGTGAAAGGAAGTATATAAAGAAGTGAACAGTGGCTCTATGGGAAGAGTGGGTGATGGGTAATTTTGCTTTGTGCCTTTCTCTGCACCTTTGGGTTTTTCCTCAGTTCCCTTACATCCCTACAATATTATATATTATTACATAGACACATCTTTGGGCTTGTTTCCTTATCTGTAGTTTGAGAATAGCCATACCAGGGGCGCCTGGGTGGCTCAGTCGTTAAGCGTCTGCCTTCGGCTCGGGTCGTGATCCTGGGATCCTGGGATCGAGCCCTGCATCGGGCTCCCTGCTCGGCGGGAAGCCTGCTTCTCCCTCTCCCGCTCCCCCTGCTTGTGTTCCTGCTCTTGCTATCTCTCTCTCTGTCAAGTAAATAAATAAATTCTTAAAAAGAGAGAAAGAGAGAATAGCCATACCAGTCACCCAGCATTGTCGTGAAGCATAAGGTGCCCGACGTGCCTGGCTGCTGGTCAGTTGGTGTCCCTAGAGGAGGGAGAGCAGCTCCAAAGAAGTAAAGCGGGGCATAATAGCTGTGTTCTCCTACCTCTCATTAGGGGAGGGCTCCGTTCTTACGAGAAGGCTTCACCATGGCTGCTAAGCAGGGCACGTGGATGCGGCTTGGCACCGGTCTCTGTATGTGGCAGGGGTGGATGTGGAGAGTGAATTGGCACAGGAGAGCTGGCTGGACACCTTGGGTTTGGGAGGGTCAGCGAAGGAAAGCAAGAGAGGTTAGAAGGTTGATTGGGGAAAGATTGGTTAAATGAGGACAGCTTAATCTGTTTGGGGTAACATTTCTTAGTTTGGGGTGGGGAGGGTCTGATGGGGCAACTGAAAAGGAAAGAGGAACCATGAGAAAGTAGAAAACACAGCCAGGAAGCCAAAGAACTCCCTCCAGTAGGAATAAAGAATGCCCTGCCTCTTCATTTCTCCTCTGAAAACCCTCCAGGAATGGAGACGGTAATGTAACTTACTTACTATAACTTTCCACAGCCCAAGGGAAAATGTTCTTCCCCAAGGAGCGGTGTTCCCCAAACATCCCTCTTTCTGGCCATATCTGTGATGAGGTGTTCTTTTCTGGAGACTGTCCAGGCAGGTGTTCCCAAAACATTTAGCCTTGCCTCTGACTTATCTCAGCAGAAGGGTTGTCTTGAATCTTGAATCTGGCCATTGTGACTTCAAATTAATCCTTCATCTCCAAAAATTCTGGGCTGTTTTGCTTCTTTGTGGTTGGCTATGCGTTCTCTATTCCCACTTTAAATCTCAGCAACTTGGGGAAGAATTCTGTCCCCACAAACAATATTCACAATCATTCCTTTATGGGAGGTCACGGATGGCTTTTGGCTCTCTCCCCTTGCCAAAATCTACATGTTTCCTTTCATTTTATACTTGCTAGTTATGTAGCAACATTTAATATAATATTAGATAGTGAAAAGAAGAGAACACAAGAATTGCATGTAAATTATGATTCTGGCTATGTAAAAACAAATAAACAGAAAATACCCAAAACACAAAAAAAATAGCATGGAAGAAAAAAAAACCCCAAATAATTAATAAATTAATAATGGTTATATTACAAGTACCAGGATTTTGGATTTTTTTTCATATTCTTTATTTCCCTAAACATTTTCATGAAATGGAAAAATACTTTTATAATTGAGAAAGAGACTTACTAAAATAAGGTAAGAGGCAGAATGAGTAACAAAGTTTGATACAATAAATAAAACAAGTAATCTAGTTGTAGATAAGATTTCCTGGAAGTAAATATACATAGCTCTTAGCCCAACATGTGTTGTTAACTGATGGAGAAATATGGCCACAGAACGCTCATGGAAGACATTTAGCCACGTCACCCTTGTCTACGCCGAGAATGACCGGAAGGAAGAACAGCATGAGATTTCAAACCTGTTGGGCCTTTGAGGAGGCCTGGGGGAGGGGCTAGGAGTCCAGGCACATTAGAGGTTTGGGAGCTGTAGGGAGACTGTAGACTTTACAAAACGTGGGGGTTTCCGGGAAGCGCTTCAAGCATGACATAGTGAGGCTCTGATACTGTTTATTTTTAGAAGTCCTGTTGAGAGGAGTATCTTTCACCTCTCACTAGATTAACTATGCTCCTTGGAACCATGGACATCTTCCTGCTGCAGCAGCAACAGGATCAAAGCACGTGTTTGGAAAGAGAAGTGAAAAACACCAGATGTGAGCAAAACCACAAGGGGAATTTCAGACAGGCTGCATGCGCCGGATTGCCCAATTTGGAATGTGGCCCAGGTCCCAGGACGGGCAGACCCTCTCAGGATCAGGCTGCAGAGACAGAGGGCATTGATCCTGATTTAAGGCAAATGCCGCTAACTTGACCTGTGACCTTGCTCAAGCCAAGGACTTCCTCCAAACCACTTTCACCGTCTGCAAACTGGAAGGAGTGGCTCATTTCCTCTCAGGAATAGCGAATGGAAACCATGCTAAAAACTAGAGGTAAGAATGAGGCACGATCTTGAAGACTGATGGTAAATTACATAGGAGTGCATAAATACCACACCATATACACACACTTAGAGTGTGTAGATACAAATATTTTGTGGGAAGGATACGTGTAAAAAAAACAACAACACGGGATTAAAGATTGTGTCACATCAATTCACAGACTGAATAATTGGAGGGGGTGTGACAGGATATACATTTTTTCCCTCACCCATAGCTCTTTAGGTCTGGTGGTTCATGTTTGCTCTTATTATGGCCGCAAACCTTCAGTATGGACCTAAAAGCTCTCTGCATTCCTTCATTTTGTCTCAGTTTTCTCATCCAAATGTTTCCCACGTTGTTGCTCCATTCAAGAATTTTTCCTGTGTCTCTTGTTCATCTACGTAGTTCACTGCTCCCACTGGGCTTTAAACCAGCCTTACTCACCCCCCACAAACGCCGTTAATTTATTCCTATTCCTGCCAACTTTGAGTCAATCTCTAAGTTGACCCCCCAGCCAGAAACCTATGAAGCATCACTAAGTCCTCTGTTCTCCCCCTCTTGGGCTTCTTACATAACCAGATGCTCTCTTAACAGGGGAGGGGCCCCACTAAAGATTAAAAAGCATGCTGGATTAAAAAGCAGATGAAGTTGTCAGCCATGGCAGTCATAGTGTAGAACAGGGAATCACCTTGGAATCACTGAGCATGGCCGTCTTCAGGAGTCATGGGCATAGTGAACCCCCCCGCCCCCCCCCCCGCCCCATCCCTTTGGTGAGAAGTTGTCCCTGGAGAGGAGGAGGGACATGGTACTGGGTCCAAGAGGCAGACACTGGAATTCCTCCTAGTGCTCATGTAGTCGGGAAGTGGCTGCATATGGGAAAAAGAACACATAACCTGATTAGCGAGGGTTCTGATATTTTGGGCCATTGGAAGCTGATGGGGCACTGCAGAGCCGAGTGTTGTGTGGGGGAGTCACTTTTGCTAAAGTGCCAAAGCGAATGGACTCTACTTTGGCCCGCATGGACCCAGCCACCACGGCCCCTCCCTGGACAACTTTGTCACCAGCTCTAGTGTCATTCCTTCCCATGAGTCTCCTTGCCTCCCATCACTACCAAGTTTGATTATGTGATCCCTGTTATTGTTCTTATCACTCGCAACTTCAAATCAGCCTCTTTTTCATCCCTCCACAATATCGTTCTCTAGGATGTTTTTACTACATGATCATAAAGGTCCCTAAAGCTGATTCGATTCCAGAGAAATGTTTGAGCCCCTTCTCCATAAGCCTAAATCCTAGGGAACACAAAGATGAGTAAAACACAGTTACTGCTCTCAAGGAGCTGATATTACATGATTTGGGTGGCTTTGCTAACTAACATTTAATCCAGTGATGGCCTGGGTTCCCCTAATTATCTTCCATATTGGCCTGCCTTGTCCCGTTCATTTATTTATTTATTTATTTATTTATTTATTTATTTATTTATTTATTTAAAGATTTTTATTTATTTATTTGACTGAGAGAGACACAGCAAGAGAGGGAACAGAAGCAAGGGGGTGGGGGAGGGAGAAGCAGGTTCCCCACGGAGCAGGGAGCCTGATGCGGGGTTCGATCCCAGGACCCTGGGATCATGACCTGAGCCGAAGGCAGACGCTTAACGGACTGAGCCACCCAGGTGCCCCGTGTTCATTAATTTAACACATATTTATCGAGCACTGACTATGCCCTAGGCACCGGGCTAGTCTTAGGATGCAACAATAAATAAAACAAACATCACTCTCATCTTTGAGAGCATGACTACAATGTAAACGGACCAGAGGCTCAATGATATACGTGTCTGACTACAAAAGGAATAGGTAAAACTTCATGTTCCTGTCTCTCCTACCATAGATTGGGGTGCACGCCACCGTAATCCCTCTCCCAGCCATTATACAGTGAACTTACAGTTGAGGCATGTTAGATTCTTATTTGAGTCAGACTCCAGGGGCACCTCAGGGGAACAGGAGGGAGAAGGACCAATCTCCACTACAATAACGAGTAGCTGGGTACCCCATGCCCTCTGCTCCTTTCTCTCCAATATTGTCATCATCTCTCTTCTCAGCAAGCAAGTACCTCTCATACTACTTCCTGACTCTATATGGGTTAGAATCTTTCAAATATGCAAAGTGAAATATCTTTGCTTTGTTGATGAACAGTCTTCAGTAATTGAAGGTAAAGTCAATTATGTAAACATTAAGTTTCCAAGGAAGGATAAGTGGAGGGCCTCCAAGGAAATGTTTTTCTTATTGGAACAGGCGTGTAAGATGAAGGCAAGTATCAGATTTCTCCTGATGGCAATAAAACTACTTCTTAGAATGTTAGGAGGGCTAGCTAATGTAATGGTGACCAAATAAGGGATGTAGTGAATCTCCTCAGGGCCTCTGACTCCTCAGAATGAGACCCCAAGAAATGACTCACTGTAACGAACTCAGCCAACTATTGATTAACTGTGCTTACAGAAGAGTATAATATTAGAATAAAAAGGAGCATGATAGACTGTATTGGATTACAAGTGTAAAGTTTGGAATCAGATGGTCCTAGGTGTTCAAATTTCAGCTCAGGTTTCTCTTTGCCACCTGAGCCTACGGCAATTTATATAGCTTTTAGCTTCCCTGTCACTTTATTTTCTCATTTTCATAACACAGATAAAAATTCCTATTGAGTAGAGTTTTTTTTTTTTTTAAAGGACTAAACAAAGTGACATAATCGAATAATCGAAGGCCCTTGGCACAGAGTGGACACTCTGTAAATGCTCCTTTCTTCTTTTCATTTTACAGATTAAAAACCAAAGGCTGAAGCACTGACCTAAGTTGCCTGAGGGCCCACGATTAACAAGTGCCATACCTGGACGAAAGCCCCTGGTTTCCTGACTTCTCGAGTAGCTGTCTTTCGATTGTTTTCATAGTGGGAGTTGAGCAAAGATAATTGAAAACACATTTATCTCTGGTTTTCTAAAGCTGGAGGGGGATGAAATTTTTACAAAGAAGGCGGGGTGAGAGGTGTAAAAAGCAGATTTACTTCGCTGAGTTTACATTGCTTGAGCACACACCCCACATGGTGAAGGGAAGTGGCAGAGCATAACCAACGTGGGGTTAAAGATTGTGTTACATTAATCCACAAAGTAAATAATCCACATGTCCACGAAGGAAGGGTGTGTGTGAGAGAGTGTCTTTTTTTCCCTCACCCACATAATGCTTTGCGTCTCCTTCAGGCCACCTTAGATCTGGACTAGTTTTCAGAAGGTCCTATGTAAACCTTTTCTTCAGAGTTCTGAGCTTGCTAATGTGTGG